GGAGGCGGAGCTTGCAGTGAGCTGAGATCCGGCCACTGCACTCCAGCCTGGGCGACAGAGCCAGACTCCGTCTCAAAAAAAAACAAAAAACAAAAAAACAAAAATTAGCCAGGCAGGGTGGTGGGCGCCTGTAGTCTCGGCTACTGGGAAGGCTGAGACAGGATAATCACTTGAACCCGGGAGGTGGATGTTGCAGTGAGCCGAGATCATGCCACTGCACTTCAGGCCGGGCAACGAGAGTGAAACTCCGTCTCAAAAAACAAAATAAAATAAAATGTATTTTTATTTTTAAATTTTTTTCCTCTCCCCGCAAGGGAGGACCTTTATATATAAAGCCTTGACAAGACGCCAGCATGCTGCACTTCGTCCATTATGTGTTCTCTTCAATGTGTATTGAGTTGTGAAACTCTGAACAGGACCCTGGATCACCTTTCAGAAATTGTATCAATTTTTCAACTCACTTTTCGTCTTCCTCCTTTTTCCAATTCTGGGTTGAGATGACTTCCATTCATTTCTTCTCTAATTGACGGCTTTCTGGCCTCTCCATTGGAGGAGGGGAAGCGCCACATGCTGTTCTGGGAAGAAATTGTTGAGTGTTTTCCACTTTAACCTTGCAATGGAATCAGTAAGGAGCTGGAAAATGTCCCTTCTGTTGGTCTTGGCGGCCTTTTCCAGTTGCCAGTTGTCATGGCCTCTTTGTGGGTGTTTTCTGCAGTAGAATCCTCCTTGGGGTTTCTCTGCATTTTGAGCACTTTTGCTATTTCTTCTCTACCGAACTCACGCATCCGCCAGTGGAGATACACGCTTTGCCTCCCTCTGGGGATATTGCCGTACATAATTCCCAGTTCTCCACCCGCCAGTTCCCCCTAGTCTGTGGGGGATTTCGGGGTGTGGAATCGCTGACGGGAGGAGTTAGCTCGGGCGGGAGCATTGTGGGCTGGGTGAGATCTGGCCCGCCGTTCGGTCCTCAGTTTGGGAAGCACCGCGGGACCAAGGCCCAGGTTTCCGCTAGGATCTTGTGAGGAACCCCTTGGGCCGCCAGACTGGCGCAGCCAGCTGCGGGAGCCGGGGAGCCGGCGCGTGAGTTCGGG